CATCGTGCACCATGCAAGGAGACAAAATCTGTCAGGAAAGTAATGGATTGAGCTAGAGGTAATTTATCCAAATGGCAGCATGGCACTCGTCCTTGGTGAGGTAATTAGATTTGGTTTGCTTAGAGCATCTTTAACAACAGGTTTTGGGAGAGGTTTAAAATTGTAAACCTTAAGGTTTACCACTAAAGTGGACAGGTTTAAGGTTTAGAAATTCAAACCCGTTTTCCATTTCCAAACCTCCGGAAAAGCTGTAATAAATTTATTTAAAAAATGAAATAATAAGATTTGATGGGAGTATTGAAAGTCACGGCTCACATCTCCTCCTTTAGTTTGCAGCGCGTGGCAAACACTTACTGGTAATTGTGTGATAACCTTATTGCAATGGATGGCCCACCCCCTGCCAAGCTCCCACTCCTTTTGCCTTCTCTTTATTTTTATTCCATTTATTGTTTTTTAATTAATTGTTAATTCTTGGAGCCGTCCCACACCTTCTCATTCTCTTTATTTTCATTTAATTTTTTGTTTTTTCAATTAATATTTTATTCATGGAACATGTAAAACACAACTATTTGCAATAAAAATAAATTTTAATTCTTTTCTTAATGGAAGTGAGGATAAAAAATCTGAATTATTTTAGAATAATATTATATTTAGTTCTTTTATTTATTTTATAATTATATTAACAAATGTTATATGCTACTTTATTGAATTTCTATAACTTTTGACCATGGTTTTGACCATGCTACTTTATAATTATTTTATAATGTGAAACCTGATATCCCATTACATTGTTTTGACCATGCTTCATAATTTTGGAAAAACAAGAAAGTATATGAAAAAAGTGAGACAAGATTTTTACTAAGATTACTATTATACTTAATAGCAAGGTTTACCATATATAACTCGTTCTGAGTAATCTTTAACTTTTGAGTAGAAAGTTTTGAAACTTGCCACACTCAAAGATAGGATTATTAATGCATGTAAACAACAAAAGTAGTCTGACTACCTGACTTGATGCAAATCCTTGTTTTGTCTTTTTTTTTTTCATTTGTTTTATTAGCTCA